GTGATATTGATTGCACTCAAGAGTAGTTCCGATTGGATGTAAGTGTCGATGTCGTGAAGACCGGTCACATCGGGTGCTCCGTCACAGACCACGAGGTCGGCGGTCGAGCCGTCCATCGCGTCGATGATCTGTCGGGCGGTGTCTTCGCGAGTGATGTCGCCCTGGATTTGGATGACACCAGCCATGGGTGCCATCGCCTGTATGTCCACTGATATGATTGTCTTCGTCTGAGTGTCGGCACTGCTGTGGAGGAATCGGTGCAACACTTGAGACCAACTGCCGGGCGCTGAACACAAGTCCACACATCTGTTGACGCCATCGAAGACATAATGTCCACTGATATGATTGTCTTCGTCTGAGTGTCGGCACTGCTGTGGAGGAAGCGGTGCAACACTTGAGACCAACTGCCGGGCGCTGAACACAAGTCCACACATCTGTTGACGCCATCGAAGACATTGAAGGTATCGTTGATTTGGATCAACTTATATGCAGAGCGCGCTCTATAGCCGTCCTCTTTGGCCAATCGGTAATAGATATCTCTCTTATCTTTTCCCGATTTACCCATTATTTCAGTTAACAGACAATATTTGTCCACAAAAATACACAACACTTTACCCACGCTTTCAATGTCTGCCATCTGTTGTCTACCAAACAAACAGTTGTTTCTCTCTAACTATTAATTAATACATAATTTATATATCATTTTAATCACTAATCACTCGTTAATTGCAATTAATTTCAATGAATTGAATACAAAATATGTTAACATTTAATATTTGGCGTATAATTGAATGGTTAGAGAGTGTGTGTATTGATTGGTATGTATGTAGTGATGGTGTGGTGTGTGTTATGGGATGTAACCATGTATATGACCATGGTGGTGTAGTGGAGGGGTGGTGGGTAATGCTGGTTATCGCTTCTCGGCCTTTTGGCTAAGATCAAAGTGTAGTATCTGTTCTTATCAGCTTAATATCTGATACGACTCCCATTGGGGGTCAAGATATTAAACTAATTTTTGTTGGGCGGCGGAGTG